TCTGCTCTGCCTCACACTTGGCTAAGCAGGCAGGCTTCTTCTCCCCATCTGATCAGAAATTCTTCATGCAAACCAGACAGTCGATATGTGGGCCCCTTTCGGCTGCTGTTGCTGTTAATGCATTGGGAAGTGTACAATCACCCGATTCATTTGCAGGTTCAGGCACAGACTAGCTGACCACCATGAGGTGTATGCCTGTGGGGTACTTACAGGGGCCCTGTATGCAGTGAGATGTGAGAAATGAGATAAAATCAATGGAACAGCAGAGCTGCCAAGCAGCTACACAGGTGCTGCAGACATTCACCCACATGGAACAAAAAAGGAGGCTTTGCCTGATTTATGATCCCATCTGGACCATATTAAAGAAGATACAAGTTGCATTTCCCTTTCCAGTGTCTAAACCAAAGTCCCGTTGGACATCTGGGAATAAAAAGAACCCAGAGGGGGAGTGGAACCTGCAAAACATGTGATGTGGTTCATGCCTCAGACATTAAGAAAATATCTCATAAAAACCACACTTGTTGTAGTAAAGCAGGAAAAACCATGAATATTATATTTCTGTCCTATTCACTGAGTACTCCTAAAACTGCATAGCTGAAGCTTGCTGAGCAGTTTCCAGTTTCAGCACTAAGGACAGCACCAGCTTTCATACTTTGCTGTGTCTTGCTGCTCTGGGGACCAATATTATGCCATCTTTATTCATTGGCAGTTAAGCCAAATGATGAAAAGGTAAGTGTGTGTGAAAGAGTGAAGTATGGGATGTTTGATGCGTGCGTAATAATAATAATAATAATAATAATAATAATAATTCATTATTTATACCCCGCCCATCTGGCTAGGTTTCCCCAGCCACTCTGGGCTGCTTCCAACAAAGTATTAAAATACAGTGGTTTGTTAAACATTGAAAGCTTCCCTAAACAGGGCTGCCTTCAGATGTCTGGTAGTTTTTCTTCTCTTTGACATCTAGTGGGAGGGCATTCCACAGGGCGGGTGCCACTACCAAGAAGGCCCACTGCCTGGTTCCCTGTAACTTGGCTTCTCACAGCAAGGGAACTGCCAGAAGGCCCTCGGCACTGGACCTCAGTGTCCGGGCTGGACAATGGGGGTGGAGACGCTCCTTCAGGTATACTGGACTGAGGCTGTTTAGGGCTTTAAAGGTCAGCACCAATACTATGAATTGTGCTGGGAAACACTGCATGATTGGTTAATAACACACAGCATGATATTGCCTTCTTAACTGGCTTAATTGGCTGGGGTAGTGTCATTTTGATTCTGATCCTATGAAAGTTTCCAAAAGAGCCAAACTGAGCTTGGTTAAAAAAACCAACCCAAAACAAAACAGTATTGGCTGATTATTTCAAAGTTAGGTACATTCTTGGAGGATTGCAGCCTGAGCTCAGGAAAGCTAAGCCAACTTTCTGTTCTCAGGAAGTAGTGCAGTCAGGCTGTCAAAAGGCACAGAAGCACACTTAATAAAATTTCTTGTTGATGACTTGGTGGATGGATTTTATTGGTGCTTAGATCTGACTACTATGAATGGAGCTGGGGAGGAAATTGGTCCACAGGTCGAAGTGATGATGCCAAACTTACTTTGCTTTACTTGGCAGCATATGGATTTGCTCTGACATCTATTTATTACTTGTTTATTAAAACATTTAAATACCACCGTTCCAAGTCATATAGAGAGTTTCAGGGTGGCTAACAATGGTATAATTAAAACAAGCCTAAAAGGTAAAGGTAAAGGGACCCCTGACATTAGGTCCAGTCGTGACCGACTCTGGGGTTGCGGCGCTCATCTCGCTTTATTGGCCGAGGGACCCGGCGTACAGTTTCCGGGTCATGTGGCCAGCATGACCAAGCCGCTTCTGGTGAACCAGAGCAGCATATGGTAATGCCGTTTATCTTCCCGCCGGAGGGTACCTATTTATCTACTTGCACTTTGACGTGCTTTCGAACTGCTAGGTTGGCAGGAGCAGGGACCGAGCAATGGGAGCTCACCCCGTTGCGGGGATTCGAACCACCGACATTCTGATTGGCAAGTCCTAGGATCTGTGGTTTAACCCACAGTGCCACCCGCATCTCCATAGTCTAAAAACAACAAAACTAATATGACAAGAAAGTAGCACAACCTAATTTATAATTTTGGAGCCAAGATTGAAGAGACAGCCAACATATATGTTTGGAGGCCATTAGGAAAAGAGCCAATTGTACCTCCCTGATTCCAAAGCCTGGGCACCTAGGTGGAGAAGGCTGTGCAATGCATCTTCAACAACTATGCGTCCGGTGGCAGAATGGAGAAAACAGAGGTTGTGATGAAACCAGGATGGGCTAGAAATCTTTGCCTCCTTATATCTATAGCTCAGAAACAAATCTGGGAGGAAAATCAAACTCCAAAGGAGCTCAAGATGGCACACATTGTACTCTCCCTCTTCATTATAGCTTCCCAGCAACATGGTGAGGTTGGTTAGGCTGAGAAAATGTGACTAGACCAAGGTGAGTGGGCATTTGAACCTCTCAGGTCCAGCACTCTAACCACAGCATGACCCTGGCTTTTTATCCCTCCCATCTCTGCCATTCTCTGGTTAGGTGGCTCTCTGGTAAATTTCTTGGCAACCTGTATGAGTTTAAATAACTAGTACAGCCTGAGATCAATTTAAAGCACCAAGGAGATAAGAAGCCTCACATTTGTTATTGTTTGCATTAGTTGGTACTGTCTTATTACTGGAAGTCGCTTGGGGGGGAAAACAGAACAAAAGCAGGAAAAAGGACACTCAGTGTTTTTGGGGAAACACAGATCCAGACATAAGGCTTCCAGATGTTTCTTCATGCTTCCATTTTTTTTAATTAAAAAAATGGTTTTAACTATGGGAGGGGGGTGATGTAAATGGAAATTGAGCTGTAACAGAGCTTGGAGTTGACCCTTATACGTTACTTGGAGTTAATACAAAATGTGCTATCACACCTATCATTTGAAATTAAGTGCAAAGCGAGTGCATTTTGAATGTGTGGAGAGACTTCTATTGTGAACTATTAAAAGACCTATTAACAGAGAAACAGAGCAGCCAAATAGGGACTGATGATCATTCAAGCTGAGTTGAATATGTGGGGCAGAGGTTATAAAGAGACTCCTTCCTTTGCCAGTTCTGACTCCTTCGTATGCCTCATAAGCAGATCATGTTGTTGGGCACAAAATGCAGGTGATTCGCAGGCAAACAGAAGTGACTGATACCACTGTCCTCACTGATCAATCTAACTTAGTCTGGATTTAACCTTATATTTGGACATATAAAAGCATCACCTGGGGGAGGGAAGAGGAGTTGGAGGAGAAGGAGGTAGTGGTCTAAATTTTCTCCACACACAAAAAAAGGTCAAATCTCCAACATATTTTCATCTGGTATGTCAGTGAAGTCTGAGAAACAGAGGTTTTGCAGCTATACTGTTTATTGTTGGATTCCAAAAACAATGCAAATGTCTCAAAAGCTGGGCACAAACAGAAGGCCTGACCTTGCATATATTTCCAAAAAGTAACTCTTATTTAAATGATGAAAATGTGTTTAATAAAATTCTTCTGCAGTTGTATCACACATTGTAATTAGGTTGGTCATTTGCATCATTGACATTCTGGAAGCTGGTAGACCTCTGTTGAAAAGAAAAGATGCCAGGCTAGATAAAATCCTTAGTCTGATGCTATTGGGTTCGTTTAATGTTCTTCAATGATGATGATGGTGATGATGTTATAACACTGCAAAACAATGAAATCTCTCTAGGGAGCATCATGAAGTTTCATCATTTTCCCTGTTAATTAACTTGCCCCACTGGAACAAAAGGAGAACCTTGTCAAGAATATTTATGGTGGCTCGGATGACACAACACCCTAGGGAAGTGACCAATGACCTGTGCTATTGGAAAATACATAATATGGGTAAGGCCTTGATTACAGCATTCATAATTAATTGTGAAAATTGACAAAAAGATAAATAATGCAAGGAGCCTCTGCGGTATTAAAGCCATAAATTGGGAGTCCACCCAAGACTCACGATTGGCAGGTACCCCAACTGAAGTTGCAGAAATCACATATTGCAAAGGCTAAGGTCTAAACGATTACATTCCTTTTCTTATTAATATTCCTCATAAATTCATTGAGACTGTAAAGTGTTAATATACTTTGAATGAGGATCAGTATTTTCAGGTAGACTAAAATTTGATCACAGAGGCTATGCAAGGAAGGTCTCAGCCTATGCTGTAGGTGGTCTCTCTGAGTCAAAACTACACTTCTTCCAATTTACTGCTAAATAGAGCAGAATAACTTTATTGCATTAGCTCTTAGATTATAGTTGCACAGTGAGATGACAAAATTTAAACCAGATAAACTTGCATGGAAAAATCACTGCTTGCTATTTAAAATTTAATAGTAATTTCATTAGTAGAATTAGTGATTAGGATAAATAATGTTAAAACATATTTATGTTAGGGGATAAACCATATCAAAACATTTTCTTAAAATAACACACATTACTTACCTAGTGCAAAACATTATAAACTTATATTGAGGTGCATTTCTCATGCTTTCAAATCTCCAATTTACAGCAATTGTGTCTACTTGCTTTTTCCAACACCTGGCAGCCTTTCCTGCAAAGGCCCACTATAGCAGAACACCCGGCTTCTTTTTAGTGTTTCTTGTAGCAGAAAAGCTAATTTATATTTAGCATACCAAAATTTCATGTTCTTTAGAAAAGGATCTAAGTAATGATCTTTGGTGTCTGTGTATAATCAAGGATATACATTCAAGGATATGTGCCAAATCCTTCGAGACAGGTTTCCCACAAATACACAATCTCTCTTCAACTGGAATGCCATAGAATCTACCTGATTCTGTCATTGTACTGCAGCCATTTGTTCAAAACATGATCGTGTGTGAGCCCTTCAATGTTCCAATGCTGTGAGCAACAAAAAGTACCCTGCAAATGGGTGCTGATGTATGATACCTGTCAACCTTATTGGCAGGGGAGGGTGATCTGGCTGTGACATTTGTCACTGCATTGATTTCCAGGGTTCATTCAGCTAATCTGGCTGGTGGGTGTCCCTCCCTCACCCCTCCATGTGCATTCCTCCTGAAGCTGCGCACTCAGTCAAAGAGGATGACCATCCCAGATAGAAGGAGTGTACCATTCTTCCATAAATGTGAGGATTTTTTGCTAGCTTCCTAAAATCTTAACAATTATTTGTAGGCAACATTCACTGAATTTCTGTTTTGTAAATACCATGCATATATAAAGAGTGATCCATGGAGAGGAGCATCTCAGAGTAGGGTATATTTCTGCAAATTTGGGAGGATGAGAGTTGGATGGCCATTGAGGGAACAAGGTCATTGAGGGAAGATTCCTCCTCCCGTTTCACCCTTCTGCCCCTCTTTTCTCCAAGGAGCTTCACCAGCCATGATTGTCTGGGAATGTTCTACAATAAGCATCACCCACTGCTGAAAATGGAAGGTGTTTTGCAAAACTGAATGCAAATCAGGCCTAGTGTGTGCATGTGTGTATTTAACACACTATGCATGGAAGGGAAAATAGGTAGGGGAAAGGGATATGGTTACTCAAGCTGGCTAACTTGAAAGGTCAGGCTAAAGAACAGTCTTGGGAGCAGGACAGGGTCTTGCTAAGTGACCATGGCTTAGAACCCCATCTAGAAACAACCATCACATATTTAATACTGTGTGTTTTATTATTATTGGAATGGTGAACCTTAGTAGCTGACATGACCATGGGCATTCTGAGACCTTGCCTCGTGGGTTAGTAATGCATCCAAACTACACCTGTGATGAGCTATGATGTCAAAGGCAATTTGAGTGGTTGTCTACAGCTTGCTGAAGGAATGCACGGCTTATTTTATCAGTACTATATACAATGGAATGGCAGTGGCGGAGCAACATGCTGCAGACCCCGGAGTGGAGAACAGGTGGGGGCAAGGCTGGTGCGCATCCCGGCGGCATAGCGCATTGCCCGCGGGGGCATGGCGAGCAGCACGGGGTTGCTCAGCATGTGGTGTGCGTCCCGGGAGGGTGTAGCGCACGTCCCGGGGGGGCAGCCATGATGGCACCCTTTCCTCAAATGGTGCCTGGGGCGGTGCATCCCCCCCCTTGTACGCCAGTGTGGAATGGTAAGGAGCTCTACAGACCTTAAAGAATCATCTGCCCTCTTGTTGAAATATTGAGGATGCAATCTAGGAAAGGAAAAAAGGAGGAAAGGAGGCTCAGACCCAGCAAATTTGGAGAAAGATAGAAATAGCCAAAATAAAAAAATAAAAAATTGTCCAGTAGCCCCTTAGAGACCAACTACGTTTGTTCTGGGTATAAGCTTTCATGTGCATGCACACTTCTTCAGATGGAAATAGCAACACTCATTATTGCCAATCTCAGATATCTGGAGATTATGAAATCCCCATATAAGTTTGGAAGTGATAAGGGATATCTATTCTAAAAACAACAACAACACGTTTTATTGTTCTAGCCCAAGGTTTGACAAATATATGCAGCAAGCAATCAAGTGAGTCAAGTAAAAATTTTCAAAGCCCACATCATAGGAATTGAGGGTTACTCAAGGAACTTTACAGAAATTTACAGAAATTTCATCCAGTTTCTTATTGATGCCACAGTTTCTGTAAGGAAGCACTCCCTTAAGTCAGCAAAAGTTTTTAAAAAAATCTCTCTAGAAACCACGTACAAAGGGCAGAGGTGAATGCAGCTCATGGATAATAGTTTGAGAACCTCTGCCACTCGGTCTTGGCTACCAGTACCTAATATCTGTTCCCTTAGCACTTTCTTATACTGTCCATCCAGAACTGCAGTTGACATGACTTGAAAATGTAATTCAATAAACACATTTCTTAATGAGATTGCTGTACCTGTTTTTTTCTGGTTTCTCATTTTTCTGACACATTGAGCTCACGTCTTTAATCATTATCCTTTGGCAAGCAGATGACCAACAACGGTCACAGAATTTCAGCCTTCGAAAACCTCTTTCCCTAGAACTCCATGTCAGTATGAAGAAGATAAAATCCACCCCCTTGGTTAATTTTATGACAACGTTTGATGGAAGTTAGATTCTCATCATGTCATATCTGGGCCATGGAAAAGACCTTGCTTTTATTGTGTGATGACATGGAAATTACTGAGTAATTAGAGGATTATCCAGTACCTTGTAAATTAAATGTTACCTCTTTACCTTTTCTAGAACAAAAAAAAAAAAAAATAAGCATGTAATTACCTAGTGAATTAAGCTGTTCGGGTCTCATGGTAATTATTCTCGGAGTCAAAAGCCTGGGGTTTTTTCTGGTAGTCACAAGGAAGACATTATCTTTAATTTTTTAAGCATATGTTGGCATTGGATCTCATACCCTGGACACTTTAATTTTAATAACATAATGCCATTCTCAAAGGAAAGGAATCATGTGCTTCCTTAGATGTGTCCAAATACGATGAACATGTGTATGTAACAGAGGTTGGACATGTGCGAAACTGATGCAAGATCTCACAGCACAAATTATATGGAATGAAATTCAGGTACAATTAAGCCAAAAACGTTGGTGACAAAGTTTAATGCTATACTCTGTTTCACAGCACAATGGCTAGGTTTTGTGAGAATAAGATCCGAGTCAACATCTATGTGCAAAGATGGAATACAAATGGATGTTTTCTGCTGCTGTGTCAGAAACCCTGCGCACAAATAAGGCAGCCTCCTTTCGGATAACATTGACTAAGCATCAGCTGGGGAGTGTTTCTGGAACACATAGTGCCATTGATGGGTTGGGCTGACCTCATGCATTCCCCCATTGCACATTCAAACAGAATACCTGAAGAGGGCTTGTAACATTTAAAAATGTCCAAATCAAAAAAGCATTGACTTTAACAGAATTGTGATCGGCAGAGCTGGCCCACACACAAGGCAAAGTGAGGCGAGCACCTCAGGTGGCAGGATCCACAGAGTCAGCAGATCTTGATGTAGATCTTTGTTCCCGGTGTAGATTTTCACCCACACCTTCTTCTCTGGTGGGGATGGAGGTGCCATTTTGTGGTTCGCCTCAGATGCTAAAATGTATTGGGTTGGCCCTGGTGATCAGCATAACGTGCAACTGCTCCCTCTCACCCCAATCTTTAAATTTTGTCACATCCCCACATGTTGCATATAGTGAGCACCATCGCCAATATTTGCATACAGTATATCTACTGTATTTTCCTAAGATCAGTCCTGATTTTTGTAAACCACTCTGAGAGCCTTTTAGGCTAAAGGATAGGGTATATAAATGCCATAAATAAATTAATATTTATGAGTCAAATGACAAATGTTAAACTATACACAGTGGTACCTCGGGTTACATACGCTTCAGGTTACATACACTTCAGGTTACAGACTCCGCTAACCCAGAAATAGTACCTTGGGTTAAGAACTTTGCTTCAGGATGAGAACAGAAATCCTGCTCTGGCGGCGTGGTGGCAGCAGGAGGCCCCATTAGCTAATGTGGTGCTTCAGGTTAAGAACAGTTTCAGGTTAAGAACGGACCTCCAGAACGAATTTAGTACTTAACCCGAGGTATCACTGTAATGATTTTTACATACATTTTGGAGATTGCAAACTGGGCTGTCCTGAAACATATATCTCCACATAGGCTGTGTACACACTGTGCCTTTAAAATGCATTCAAAGCACATTATTTCCCTCAAAGAATTCTGGGTGCTGTAGTTTCTTAAGGGCTGCTGTGAATTGTAACTCTGTGAGGGGTAAACTACAGTGCCCAGAATTCTTTGAGGGAAAGAATGTGCTTCAAATGTGCTTTAAAGGTACAATGTGTACACAGGCATATGTAATGAAACAATAATGACAATAATGACCACATCTCATTTATTTCTTCTTTTGATCAGTCAGATCCAAATTTGTACATACGTGAGATAATAAACCTGCGGTAAATTTCAGATTTGCCCAAGGGTTTCCAAAAAGCTCTTTTAGAGAACAATGGCAAGAAAAATTGATGAACTATGCAGAATTAGCAAAGTTAACAGAAAAATTGCATGAAAAGGACAATAGAGACTTTTAAAATGAATGGGAATCTTTTACAATTTATTTACAAAAACAACATAAAGAATTGGACTCGTTGGCAGGTTTTGAATAAACACCCACAATTTTATTTAATTAAAACATGGAGGAAGATAATGTAGTGACATTTTATGAATATTAACATGCAGAAGATAACAATTTTTGTAACAAACCAGAAAGGGAAGATGAGGGAAGTCACCGGGACCCTGGAAACTTTACAGAATAAAGGGAGCACCACAATGGGAAGAAGGATAAAAACGTAACGGCTCTTTTACATTCCAACCGTTTTCTGAGTTACCTGATAATAAGTGTCATTGACATTTCTTCTGAGTAGACAAGTATAGTATTCCTCTGCTAGCCATTCTAGGTTCCTTTAAAAATGTCAACCAGTATTCTATTATGAAGTGGTATGTTGTTTGTGCTAATTTTTCTTTTAAAAGGGGATATTTAATTCCAATGCATTACAACACTGTTATTTTTCTTTTCTCACAGCAATAGAATTATTCCACCTAAAAGTCACAGCTAATTCAAACAGCAGTTGCTTCAGGTGCAAATCGGTACTGAAATAATTATCTCCTCACCTTCTTGTGTGTTTTTGTTGTCTGCTTTTTAATCTGCTGGAGTATTACTGGCATCACAATGGAGGATTCTGGGATAACAGTATTTTGATTGATACTAATATTGCACCATTCCTTGGCATGATGAAAGCAATACCTTGCATTTACTTAAAGAAAATTGCCGTGTCCTGCAGTTAAAGTATATAGCTCTTCCTTGCTATAGATATGTGGTGCACTTTAGCGCACAAATGAGCTTTTTCAATGTGCATTTCACCACCATATTTCACAACCTGCCAGTCTATCTAAACTCTGGATTGTTGGACATATTAATGGGCCTCTCTTTTGGGGTGTTTGGCCTAATTATTCAAAGAACAAATAAGCCCCTTTCCCACTGCAAGCATAGCTTTTTGGATGCTGTTCCGTCAACCTGACAGTGCATGGATTAGTGCTAGCACTGTGCTCCTGTGGTCTCTTCCCTCTTAATAGCCTTTCATTTCCGCTGAAAGGAGATCAAAGTTAGAGACATACCAAAGGGCTTACGTTCAATAATGGGATAAGAGGAGAGGCCTAAGCCATGCTTAGCAGCAGCTAGCTATGGTACCTCTACATGCCACA